CTTCGGTCTAAACGAAAATTATTTTAGGTGTTGGAACCAAGATAAATTGTGATATCGCAGGGAGAGAAACCACAGCTAGACAGAAGCTGTAACGAAACTGATTTCTCACCGCGTATGAATGCAACCGAAGTGGTGGGGGGAAAGGTAGGGTGGACATGACTGACAGAGGAATGCCAGTAATGGGAGCTGCACAGAGACGGCGATGAGTCGGTATTGTACGGGATGACAACTCCAAGGCAGGGAGGCCAAGGAGGCTGGCTGAAACCCTGACCTGGCCAGGAGGCAGCAGAGTTAAATGTGCAACTCATAAATAACCACCAGCTATTTTGCAAGTATTTATTTGAAAAAGTAATCCACGGTTCAATACGTTACTCAGAAATGACAGGAGGTAGGATTGTCCCAAGAGGTTAGTTTAGAATGGCGGTGCCTGTCCTTAGCACCAGGACGAGCTGCCCTCATGAACGTTTATGCTGCCCTCCCAACTTCTGTGAGATTACCTGGATGAAAGAAAGAACTGAATTTAGCCTGCGCTATTTTGTCATTATCCCTCACTTAATTCACGTTTGCTATAGTCTGCTTTTAAATACTGTCACCCTTAACTGAAGTTATTGAGCGTTAGCGTACTTAACTTAGCTAAATCTCAAGCTACTGCACTGGCTTATTACAGCTCTTAACGGAAAGTGCAAATTAGAACAACTGCTGGAAAAAAAACCCACGCGCATCAAAACAAAGCCCCCCAAAACACCAAAGCAGCTCAGCAACTCGTTTCTGCACCCTCCTTCTCAACTGCGCGATGGGAAACTACGCGAGTCAGCAAAAGGGGGGGAACCTGTTCCTGCTTTTAACGTTTTTGCCGATCTAAGCGCAGCTCATTAGAAGGCAACAGCCAAGTTACAACGTTGCCTTGGGAACTTGGGCAACCCCAGGCTTGGTTGTTGCTGGCCGAGGGGTGCAGTCAGGCATCTCTCCGTGAAGTATGCAGTAAACGAGAGAATGATAGTCCACACTCTAGCAAACAAGAGATCTGTGCGTTAGCAAATGCAGGAGAGCTAGTCTTTAACACGAGCAACGTTTTTTTTACCTTAAAATAAAAAGAAATCATGACCAAATTGGATAAAAGACAAAAAGCGCTAAATTCTTCTGTTTACAAACATGCAACTTGCGTTGGCTTCCGAAAAACACCCCGCCCCTTCGAGCAACAGCAAACGGCACCTCCAGTACCCGCCCTCCCTTCCTAGCCCTGCTCAGCGCCGGCCAGCCGCCGCACCGCAGACCGGAGCC